AGCCCCATCCGCATCCCCAGCCCCATCTGCATCCCCAGCCCCAACCTCGTCCCCAGCGCCATCCCCATCTACAGCCCCAGCCCACATCAGGCTCATTGCTCTCCTCCAAGCTTTTCCTGGGCACACACACGCTTTTCCCTGTTGTTTGGTCTACTTTCTGTTACCGCTTCCCATTCAGTGGTTCACGCATGATGACAAACCATCACTGAAACACTACCTTGTTTTCGCGTTGTTTCCTTTCGTTTTGACCCTAATAGCTCTAAGGAGCCCCAGGTTCTCCCCAGGCAGTCACCCATGGGAAGAAGCATCATTCCACAATGGGCTTGCACACATTTTGCCTCCTCTTGAGGCATTAAAGCTGCTTACCTGCTCAAATCTGGCCAGCAAACCGGGAAATGTTCAGGCACATGCTAAAGGGATGGCAAATGCCTCCTCTTGCGCAGGTCAGGGCTGAAATCAAGCCATGTAAGTCGTGGCTCGGTCCAGCCGGCATCTTTTCATCCCCAGGCCAGAGGCTGTGGCTGCATCAGTGGGCTTGAGTGAGTCCGGTGAAATGCCACAACAAGACTGATGAGTGCTACACAGAATAGTAGACAGCAGGGTTTGTTTTTAAAGAAACAAGCTAATTTATTGGGATCTTTGCATAAGGTAGCACACACATGGATCAAACCTCTTGAACAGGACAGTTGGATACTGTCAAGTTGCAAAGGTCCTTGTAGCAGCATCTCCAGCTGGAGCAGGTGAGACTCCCCAAGCTTACACCCACCTGGTCCTGCACAATCACCCGCCTCATCTGTTGTTATTAATTGTCTTAAACTACCTACAAAACATCTCCTAACTATCTTATATATATGTTCTGCTATTGCAAATTGTCTGTGCACAGTTTGGTCGACGCTGCAGCAGGAACCACCTGGGGAGGCCGTGGGATGCCCAGATCCTCCCCGCAGGGTGCTCATCAGCACATGGAGACACATAGGAGGTGCTTCTCCATTGACTTTAGGCACAGCAGGAGCTCCTGGGGCATCTTCAGGCCTGTCCCGAAGCTCCTGTACCCACCAGTCAGAGGTTTTCTTTGGAAGGCAGCTGGGAGTTCAGTCCATTGGTGCCTCGCCACTGCAGGAATGAGCCAGGGAGTACCTGGGCTACCCTGGGACTGGATGTCCGTCATGTGCTGTGTGTGCGCCTGGGCACAGCCCCAATTCCTGGCCACAACACAGTTATACCCAGGGGGGGAAACTGAATTTTATCCTTCTACCACGCTTACAACTTAAATACTGTAGCTGTTGTTAGAGCAGACCATCAGGAAATGGTTGCTCTGTAGGGTTACCAAGTGGTCCTGGCGAGTTTCTAGGTTTTCCAGCCTGTTGTGGTGGCCAAGGTACACTCGCCTGTCCCAGCTGCTCCATCCCTGACCCTGGCTTTGGCGTTGCACAAATTAAAGCCAACAAATTGCACTGTGCAGGGTCAGCGAGTCCACCCTTGCCTGCCTGACCTTGGGTGAGGGGAAGGACAGAGCCTGGTGTCCCACGAGGGAGGGTGGCGGTGGGAAGGGACATCTCGGTGCAGGAACACGGGTAATGCTGGCCTGCAAAACCGAGCAGCTCAGGTTTCATGGAGCAAGGAAGGTACAAAGAGCAGCTTTGCAGACACTCAGCCCAGGGCATTCCCTGCCTGGGCAGGACACTCCTCAGCTGCCAGGAACGGTGGATCGTGGGTATGGACTACAGCCAAGAGACTGGGGTGCAGGCAGAGAATTTCCTAGTGCCACAGGCTGATGCAAGGCCTCGCGGGAAAATGCGAGATAACCAAGTAGCAAAAGGCATCTGCAGAGTCAGGGCGAGAGCAGTGCAGTGGCAGACGGAGCAGCATGGCAGGGCTTTGCGTACGCTCTGTCCTGGTGACTGGGGCCAACCGGGGAATTGGCCTGGGGCTTGTCCGGCAGTTCCTGGGATTAACAAACCCACCTGAGTGGGTCTTTGCGGCTTGTCGGGACCCCAAGGGACAGCGAGCGCAGGTGAGGCTGGGCTGGGACACAGGGGGTTGTGCTGGGGGACGGGAGCACTCGGTGGCAGGGCAGCAGGCTGGAGCAGGGAGGGGGTTTGCAAAGAGCTCGAGCTGCAGCCGGGCACCCCAGGTGCTGTAGGGCAAGGCAGCCGAGTTGGGATAGCTGTGGGATCAGCTGTGCATGGGATGTGCAGAGGGGACAGTGGCACACGACATGTGTGGGAGGCACAGAGCCCCATCTGATAAGAGCAAGACAGCCAGAGCAGGGTGCTGGGCATGAGGTGGTGCAGGGATGGAGCTGGAGTGACACGGGCTTTGCCTGGGAAAGGCTGAGCCTCTGCACAGCTGGTCCAGTCTCTCCATGCCCACACAGTTTCCTCTCTTGCAGGAGTTACAGAATTTGGCCTCCAGGCACCCCAACCTGGTCATCATCCCGCTTGGTAGGTGCCCCAAAGTGGGGGTCCCTCACCCCAGTTCCCCTGGCGTGTGCCCAGGCACTGTGCACACCCTGGGAGCCCAGTGCCAGGAGGGAGCTGTGCCAATGGGCCATTGCCTTTGGTGACACCGGGTGCTGCCATCCCTGGGGGGACACCGGGGGCTCCAAGCAACCATGGGGACATGGGCACTGACCTCCCCCATGCCGGCTCTGCAGAAGTCACCGACCCTGCCAGCATCAAGGCAGCTGCAGCCAGAGTTGGGGAGCAGCTGGGGGGCTCGGGGCTGAACCTCCTCATCAACAATGCTGGAATTGCAAAGATGAACTCACTTGATAACGAGACGCTGGAGAACATGATGCAGGTTTACACCACCAACACAGTTGGGCCCCTGCTGCTGAGCCAGGTGAGACCCTCACCCCCAGCACCGCAGCAGAGCTCCAGGGAGCATCCCTTCCTGTGGCCCTGAATCCCTGATCTGGACCATCCTGAGGGGCGTGAAGGGCCAGTGGGAGAGGGTTCTGCCTCCACTCCGGTGCCCGATGGACTCTCGCTGAATGAGAAGCTCATGGAGCTGCGGGCTGGAGCTCAGGAGCTGGAGCCTGGTGGGCTGGGGCAGTGGGAAGAGGAGGGAGGATGCTTCAGTGCTGGTGCCAACGTTGCCCACTGTGGACGAGCTGGTCCTCTGCCCTGTGCCACCTCTGTGTGTGCCCTGGTCTCCTCTTTCTCCTCACAGGCGTTCCTGCCCTTGCTGAAGAAGGCTGCCCAGGGGAGCCTGGGCTCAGCGCTGAGCTGCAGCAAGGCAGCCATCATCAACATGTCCAGCTCTGGGGGCTCCATCGCTTTTCCCTATGGTTGGGATCTGATGCAAGTTGTCTCGTACCGCTGCAGCAAGGTACAGCCACGCCACACTGGGGACAGATTTGCCTCCCCTGCCCTGTCCCTGCCATGGGGTCTGCACATGTCCCCTTGCAGCCACCCTTCCCCTCCCGCTGCCATCCCTGCCCTGTCTCCCCACAGGCTGCTCTGAACATGCTGACCAAGTGCCAGTCCCTGGGGTACCGGGAGCACTGCATCCTCTGTGCTGCTCTCCACCCTGGCTGGGTGCAAACCGACATGGGGAGCTCAGCTGGACACACGGTAGGAGTTTCACCATGGTGGGTCCATCAGAGCCCCTGTGCTGATTTCCACGGGAGGGAGTTGCTGCCCTGAGCCCCTGACCACGACCTCCCTGCCTGCCCCTTTGCTGCCTGGGCAGCTCCCCCTGCCCTGGCCCCGGGTGCCTGGTGCCCCCATCCCCTCGCCTCCCTGCTCGGCCCCTCTGCCCGGGGCTGGCAGCTTTCCCCTTGCCCTCGAGCAGCTCCTTCCCCTGGCCCTGGCTGCTCCAGGGCAGCCCTTAGCCAGGCCTCGGGCACGGGCTGCCTCTCCCCCTCTGCCCCACAGCCCCCCGTGACGGTGGACGCCAGCGTGCAAGGGATGCTGAAGGTGCTCTCCTCCCTCTCCGAGAAGGACACCGGCACCTTCCTGGACTGGGAAGGAAAGGTCGTGCCCTGGTGAGACGCTGGCCTGGCCTCCTGGCAGCGGGGCCCTGTGCCGCTGCTCCCACCTGCCTCACATCCTCAATAAACTCCTGCCCGAGAGCCACCGGCTCTGCTGCACGGCCCCGCTCCTTATCCCGGGGTGTGGCAGTGCCCACAGCCACCCCCCCAGCCCACGGCTGTCTCTGGGGTCCCCACGAGTGACAGCCTGCGGGTCCCATGGCACCGTGACCACCGTCTGGAGATGTCCCCTCCAGGAGGAACCAGCGTCGGGGCAGAGCCCCTATCCCCTATCTCCTGAGCATCCACAGGGCTGGCGAACACCCCGAGCACCGACAAGGCTGGCTTTCCCCCTGCCTGGCTGCGGGGCACCCCCAGGGCTGTGCTCAGCCTGGGGTGCCCAAAGGGCTGGGGGTTGCAGGGACCTGCTGCCCTCTCCCCTCAGTCAGGGGATGCTTGGTCACAGATGGGACAGGTGGACACGTGGCACTTGGGCAGCACATGGGGAGTGGGTGCCAGGCTCTGCCAGAAGGTTTGAGGCTGGGGGTGTGGAGACGGAGCAGAGAGGCATCAGCTCCTGGCGTTTATGGAGGTGGGGGGTACAAGGGGGCTGCAGGGCTGTCCGTGGAGTGGGGAAGGGGGAGAGAAGCTGCTTCCCGTGCCCTTCCCCTCTCCCTGGCAGCATGGAGCAGGCTGAGGGCGAGCGGGGTGACCACGCGGAGGGGTGAGCCAGCAAGCGGGAGGCTGCAGTGTGGGCAAGAGGCGCCATCCGTCTGTCTGTCCATCTGTCCATCACCAGGGCAGGCTGTTCCCTTCCCAGTCGAGGAAGGCTCCGGAGGTGTCCTGTGAGAGGCTGGCCAGCACGGTGAGGATGCCCCGCACACTGTGCTCCACTGTCAGAGGTGCCTGCAGAAGAGGACAAGGCGCAGTGTCACCGCCGTGGGCTGTGTCCAGCACAGAAAGCAGCAGGGCCTGGGAGACTGGAGGGTGCACTGTCTGAGGAGCAGCACCCAGGGTGCTCGTGAGGGCATTTTTCCTTACTGCTGCCCTCCCTGCTCTCTGTGCTGGGTGGGGGGGACAGGGCTGGCTATCCTGTGCACTTGGCACGTTGCAGCTTGCTGCCTGCTCCCTGCCTGCTCTGCCCCAGGAGCAGCTCACAGCACCCCACAGCATCCCCTGCCCCAAGTGCCCCTGCTCTCCCCAAGAGGTGGGGGTGCAGCAGGGGTCCTGCTGACCCTCCCCTGCACAGCCCAGTACCTTCTCCGTCCCCATGTCAGTCTTCACCCAGCCAGGATGGATGGCCGTGCACAAGATGCCTGTGTCTTGGAGCTCCGCAGCCATGCACCTCGTCACCATGTTCTGGGCAGCCTGGAAGAGGCACCGTCATGCCAGCACGACTCAGGGCACGGGTGGGCAGGAGGGGACACATTTCCCAGCCAGAAAGTGGCTGTGAAGGTGGGAAAAGTGACTTTGCCCTGGAGTAAAGCATCACCACAACCCGCCTGAAAGGCTCAGTCCCGGCTGCTGCTGCTCTTGGTCTCCGTGCTTATGCTTGGGAGAACCAGGAAGGGGGTGGGTGGCCTGGGGCAGATGGGTGCCCCCACGGGCTCCCCTCCATGGGCACGATGCACAGCAGAGCATCCCCAGCACCTCCCCTGCCACCTCACCTTGCTGGCACGGTATGGGTACATGGGGGCCTCCGGGACCCCGAGGCACAGCCCGATGGAGCCCAGTTTGGTGGAGACGTTTATGACCGCGGCCCTGCTGCAGCTCAGCCCCTCCTTCCCTGCACCCTTCGCTGCCTTCTCCAGGAGCGGCAGAAATTCCTGATGTAAAGACACCGGCGCTCTGTTAATACGTGACAAGTCCCGAGCCTGAGGACCGCCCTGGAGGTCTCTGTCACAGACTGTGGATGAGCAGCTGGACAGACACCCCCAGCAGAAGGGCAGGGATGAGGAGGATGCCCCAAGGACAGGACAGGCTCCAGCCTTTCCCTTCCCTATGGAAGGAGCGAGCTGGCATGGCCAGCCCGGGGCAGGCAGGAGCTCCAGCTGGGGAGGAGCGAAGCGTGGGAGATGCTGGGGCTGGGCTCAGCTGCCTCCCTGCTCCTCTGGGTGGGCAGAGGAGACCCGCAGTCCTGGTCTTGCCCCCATCAGGCTGCCTCATTTGAGAGAATGAGAACCCACCCAGCTGAGGGCACCTTTGCCACGGGGAACATCTCCCCAAGCAGGAGAAACCCAAAAGGTCCACACATACCTTGGTAACCTGGAGCAGCCCAACCACGTTGGTGGCAAACACAGAGAGCATCTCCTGTGAATCCAGGGAGCGCAGTGTGGCATGTGAGCTGACGCCTGCGTTGTTGATGAGCAAGTTCAAGCCCTGGTCCTTCAGATGAGACCCCACAGCCTGTACGGCCCGTCGGATGCTGGGCAAGTTCACTGTGTCTGCTGGGGCAAAAAGCAAAGTGGAGGAAAGCTCCAGCCAGTCACGCAGTGTCTGCTGGAAAGCGTGCTGTGGCTGGAATGGCTCTCTTTAAACCAGCATTATCCAAAAAGAAAGGACCAGGTTTAGCAGGTGAGGGTGTTAAACACATCAAAATGAGCAGCATTTTGTGCTCATCTCTTAGTTTTGCAGCCTTAGCTGAATTAAACCGTGATTCGGCTCCTTTTTGGTCAGATGGAGGCTACTGTTAAAAAGAACTTAGCTGTATTTGCTTTCTGTATTCAAGGAATCTATGATTGCACAAGGGATGCTCGGTCCTTGCACTGTGTGGCTCCCAGTTTTATTTCCACCAGGAGCCAATGCAGTCGGATGGACACATTTTAAGGAGACATCTTTGGGGAAACAACCTAACTACGCTCTTCGAGCCCTTCTGTATTGCACAGCAGCTATAGGGGCTGTTAACATAGGGGAGACATGTTCGTTCTATTGTTGAATTATGTGAAGATCTTTTCTGGTTGATATCCATTCTGACTGATCATTTAGAGCTACCTTTTCCTTTTTTAACAATTTGTCCTTAAATTGATCTTCTGCAGCATAACTTCCCATAGCTTTACAGCCATTTGTATGCAAAAATCCTTCCTTTTTTCTTTTCTTTTTCTTTTGTTTAGATTTTTTTTGCTTCACATTGTTACCAATGAGGATTTGGAGCTGACAGATGAGCTGAGGTGAGTACAAGTAATAACAGACTTGGGATATAACCTGCAGTATTTGTTTGTAGGCTCTGAGTCTGAACCTCCCCATCTCTACAGATGCTTCAGCCAAGCTGTGGGGACAACCTCTCTCAAGCAAGGAGAAACAACTGACCTCCCTGAAATTGTGCTAACAGGGGTAAGCATTTCCAGTGCCTGTTTCATCACTTAAATATTGGTATCTCTTTGAAAATCTGCAATGCTTTAATTGCAGGATTTTTTGGCTAAAGCGATAGGAGTGGTATTTTTTTATGTTCAACTTTTGGGTTTGCTTGTTAGGATGGGCATCCCCTACCAGGTGTTTGCCCCACTGAAGTGGCCGTCGTTGATTTAAAAGGGGTTATCTAAACACCTTCAGGATCTGAAGTGGGACAGTTAGGCCAACACTAAACTTTGTATAATGCCTTTTAATATCCCAAGTACACCACCAAGCCCTTAAGATCCATGAATATTCATGCATATGGGCATGTTTGAGTGTGCCTTTGCTCCCATGCACATTTCTGCACACATTTTTTGCAGGTGCTAATCTGGTGAGCCTGATGGGTGGGGGGGGATTACAGAGCTAGATTTCTTTTTTGCAACACTTTGGCCCCCAAGCTGTGTTTCTGTTCTCATGCTTAGACAAGACTGACTTAGCAAAGGTTTGCAAGGCTGAAGATTCCCTTCCTGGAGTATTTTGTACACTGATGAGCAGCAGAACAATCCTTTTTCCTGGCATTTTTAACTAGCCTGGTGGCTTTATGCTTTACTTAAGCAAGTATTTGAGTGGCTCCAGACTTGTACCACCTTGCCTTGTGCAGCATGGACCTTTGTAGAGGTGTCATGAAAACATTTTGGGGGAGTTTGATGAGATAATCTGCTGTGGGGCTGCCGTGCATGAGGGGATGAAGCCTTGGGATTTGAGAGGACATGCATGGCCAGCTGCAGGACATATCACAGGGTGCTTTTTAATGACGTCTCTTTGGATAATGACTGAACAGAGTTCAAGGCTCCATCACTCCACCATGGGTGAGGGATCTTTTAGTCGCTTTGGTGAACAATTAATCGCTCTGTTCGGACTAGCTGAGTCATTGCTCCAAGGGGCCAGGCATATGGGACCAGCACATTTCTAGCGCTAGGCCAGCCACATTTGCCGAAGGAACAAACTCGTCTCCTTTGAAGAAATAAGAAGATAAGGATGGGAAAGAAAGAAAGAGAGAATGAGAGGAAGCAACAGGTTTTATGCATTTTGGAGTTAATATCTAACTTGCCTTTCTGAAAAGTGCATTCCTGTTACTGGCTTGAAGCTAACCTTTCCTTGAGATGGAGAAAGACAGCAACTGAAGCAACTTCTCCTTTTTAAAAATACTTTGTTGCCATTGGATTTTTCATAGCTTTTTAACTGATTTTGGGACTTTATTGATAGTCTGGGTTTTAGGGTGTATGTGTTTTAGTAAAGGTTGTTTATTTAGTGGGCAGCCCCTTGAGATGTCCCTTTTTATGTTAGCCATGCTTTGGTGAGCAAAGTAAGCATGCTCTTCCCATCATGTACTGCTGGCTGGGGCTCACAGGCAATTTTAAAGATGCTGGTTTTTATCACAGAGAAGGTGTTCTACTTTAATAATCTATTTAATAGTAAGAGAGAGATTTGCTTCTTCTTTTTAGTAAAGCCTGACTTCAG